GCATGCAACAGAGTGGCAGTTGGATGTAGAAAAATAAGTACGCCATGGACAATATGGTGAGGATCTGATGTTACTGGTGTACTTCCCCGGACGCAGCTACGCCAGGCCCTACCATCGTGAGCTGTAGCCGTTGGTCACTGGTTGGATCGAGAGATATCAAAAGACAGAAACTGATGGGAAGTTAATGCGCGAAGCAGCTGCAGCGTGCATTAGGCTGTTTCTTGGGAGGGAACGACATTTAGGCAGTCAGTAAATAACGCTTTTAGCTAGAGATTACGCGAAATAATTGAATTTTAAAGGTTGTAACGGATAGAAATTCGCACGATTTTTGTTCCTTCTCAATTGTTTTGCAGTATTTTGCAAAAATTCATCAATTTTTCTGTCTTTTGCGATTATTGAACATTATTTTGGAAGCATGTTTCACGCCAGTTTGTCGTTCAGCCATGAAGATTAAATACACTGGCGTGCGCTTCCAGTGATCAAGCTGTCCGTTTGTTTTTCTTGTTTTTTGTTTAATAAATTTGTTAAATTCTTTTGCATAACTGTGACCATGGATTTGTCCGGAGAATTCCTGATAGGGTTTTCCAGAAACTATGTGGAAGAGTGTTAATATGTTTTGGTAAAATCAGACGGGGAGGGGAATGTTAATTTTTGGTAATTTTTTTCGTCAAAACATCGTCTAGAGAGGATGTGGAGGGATCGAGCCGCTCAGCTTTATTATCTTTGAGTCTTTCAAATCATTGTTTGTTAGCCGTCGTCCTTTAGCTTTCTAGCTTCTCAGAATCCCGAGTTATGAACTTACCCGAAAAAAATTTTGGTGGATACCACACTTACCAGGGGGATGGGTTTGAGCTCGTTAATACCTACTTGGACGGGGAACATTCCCTTAAGATTTTAGTTCTTACATCCAGCAGTTGCAGTTTGTGAACTTTAACATATATGCTAAAGTACCTAGCTCTGCTACCACAGACAGTGAGCATTTTCCTATTTTTGCGACGATAGTTTATATGTATATGTTTGGTGGCTGAATTATGCATGGTCGCGCAATTAAGTATGCCCCCTTTTTTTACTTTATTTTCCCTTTTATGTGTTTCCTCCCTGTAGGTCAGTATAAAGAGAGTTTGGGCTTTTTTGCTTGCTGGTATGAATTTTTTGCAAGCATCGGGAGGCAGCGGTGGAGCATTCGCCCGAATTTTCCTGTGATGATTTAAGAGAATTTGAATTGTTTTAAAAAAAATAGGCCTACTATTGATGGGTTATATACAAATGTTAATACATTCTTTGTATAAAGAAAAAAAAGTAACGAAGAAAAGATTTAAATAAAATTGAAACGGAAAAAGCAGGCCAGGAATGTTTCAATCCATTGAGCCGATGTTTATCTGCTCTCTTGGGAGAGAGGGGGGAGGGGGTGGGAGGGGGTGATTCCCAAGAAACTATAACCGGCCAGTTTTTTGTAATTCCAAAAATAATTTTTTTCAGTGCCGGCTAATGGAGTGTGATATTGCATCATATCATGTGGAGTCGTTCAATTATTTGGCCGAGCAGGGAGTGCAATTGGCAGCTCTGGACGTTCCTGCTGAGAAATTTCGCCTCCCCAATGGTGATGCTGTGGAGCTTCGTTATACCGGCGCTCAGCTGGGGTATCCGTCGCTTGAAATTAAAGGAGTATGTATTCGATAGTTTTGTCTAGAACCTACAACTAAGGTGAGAAAGCAAGCCGTCTACGGCACGAATGCAGTAGTACCACTGAAAAATAGGGCTAAATTAGGCGCCAGAGTTTCGAAGTTTTTTGATAATTTATCGTGTTTTTTCTGTTTTTTTTTTTTGGTTGCCCATGATTTGTTTGCAGGCCACCTCGGTAATTGATCAGCTAAAGTTGTTCCCGTCGGAATGCAGGCAGCGAGGCCTGACATACAGAGGCCCATTGAAGGTGGGCATTGAAATACGCATGAATGGTATTAGAACGGATTTATGTGAAGTTATCGTCGGAGAGGTTAGTTCCATTTTTTTTTTTTTTGTTTTGTTTATGAAGCTATTAAGTGACATGTTGGACTTTGTGTACGTGGCTGTCTCTGCTTGTGTGTGTGTGTGTGTATCGGTAACACATTTTTTCTGGCTGTTCCCGACCTCTTTTGCAAAAACTGGCCAGTTTGCGAGAATAAATCCGGAACAGTTTAAATTAAATTGCTCGAAGATCGTTGCGCGTTTCACAAATGCACTTCTTGGCATCTATCCTTTCCATTCCTTGTTTCTTTCCCCCTAATATCTTTGAAGCAATTTTCAAAAAATAGTTTCCTTTGCACATCACCTTCTACCCTTTTTTTCCATTCTAGATTTGTGTTTTTCACAGAAGTAGTCTGTAGGGATGAGGGGTTAGGAAGAGAAGAAGGGGAAGGTGTTGAGGGTCCCGCCAGCTCGTTAGTCCTGGTACATCTTTGGGTCAAATTTGAAGAAATATTTTCCCTTGCACACCACTTTCAGTTCCTTTTTTCCGTTCTGGACTTGTATTTTGTACGGAGTCAGTAGGGATGAAGGAACAAGAGGAAGGGAGGAAGAGAGTCAAAAGATCCCATCAGCATTATCCTGCTTTTGACAGCTAATTTTAGGTGCCGATAATGTTAAGATCGAGCAGATGTCACCTGCAATGGCTGACTAGGGAGCAGCTAATAGCACATGGCGAAGAAGGCAGTGAAAAGGGCGGATATTTTATTTGCAAGGGATCTGAAAAGGTTTTTTTTTTTGCTATTGGACGTTACATAGTTTTATTTTCTAAACTCGACGGGTGCTTTTTTTTTTTTTTGCCCAGCACAAACGGCAATAACAAAAGTAATAATAATGATGACAATAGTAATGATA